GCGGGGGAGGATTTTGGTGCGATCCGCTCTTACAATCGTCGCGCAGGTAAACGTAGAGTAGTCCCTCCAGCAACGATGCCTCTGGAACTTTGGGGTATGATTCTCTCCCCCGAGCACGGTATGGATAAAATACAACAGCACGGTCTCGGATTTCATGTTGAGTTACCTGATGTTAAGCCAGTTAATGCCATTCTTCACCTAGGACTTGCGAATATTAGAAGAACAGATCTCTCCCCAGCGTATTGGCATCGATCGAAGGGAATTGGCCTACCAAAGTCCGACATTCCAGGTCCCAAGGGGCGAAGGCTGATCCACGCGTTGCCCTCGATCGCAAAGGCGTGGTTTGCTAGGCGCATCGAGCAGAGGCTTCCAGTTCAGGATCACGGGTTCGCACGGCATCGACGTAGGGAGGACGCGATCATGTCTGCGATGGCGGTTGGCTTTCGCCTCCGCCAAGCGAGCTGGTCATTTGCTGTGGCGATGAAGGACATGTCCAATGCATTTGGTAGCACTCTCTGGAACAGATTGGGCCAGGTCATATGTCATATGTGACACCGTTCGGCATTAGGATCGCGCTCTCTGTAAACAACGTTATCGTCTTTCGGTGGTCGAGATCGAAACGACTTCGGGGTTATTGGCTGTCAGGACAGGGGTGGGAGGGGTCATGGGCGATCCCTTCAGCGCGCACGGCTTCGCAGGAGCATTTGTCGCACCGGTGGAGGAGTGGGCAGCTGAGATGCGTCAGAGTTCTCTCCCTGCACGTCTTCTCACGTCTCGGTGGTGTGGCAATCCTGTTGACATGTCGTATCAGAAGCATGCAGATGATCTACTTCGCTTCCATCCCCTGGCAGTCGGTACGGTACTAGTGTGAAGGACATATCTGCATGCTTAAAGAATCGGACGACCTGTTGGACACGGCCTTGAGCAAGTCGGGATACGCGCAGAATCGGGGCAAGCAGGTTACTAGCTTTTATATCGAGGGGGTAGGCGCTTCGGAGGTTAAGAAGTTCATCAGGAAGGGAGTGGAGGACAAGGAGTTGGCGGGGCACGTCACAGATATTGCACGATATTTAGGACCCGCCATCACACCCACGCAACAGTCGGCGCCAGAGGTAGAGAGAAGAATGAATGCAGCGACCTCGGCCTACTTTAGCATGGGCGGCTTCTGGAATCTCCCCGTTCCTAAACCTTGGAAGCGCACTATACTCCTGGGCCTTGTACAGGGTACGTTGTTATCAAGACTCGAACCTTTTATTCTCAGTACTAAGCAGCTCGGGGCACTCGATCGACACGTCGCTCGGCTGAGCAGATCAGCTATGCGAGGACCAGCTTTTCGGGAACTCGAGGACGGCACTAAGCATTCGCTTTCGACGCAGGAAATCTTGGAGTACTGGGGCCTAGCCTCGTGTGAACAGGAGCTCTTGGCACGGCGATTGTCTTGGTACCAGTGCTGGGCCAGCCACCTAGATGAACATATCCAGGTCCTCGTCGCGTTGCTTGGATAGTTCACATTCGAGGATAAGGAGTGTTGGCCATGTAGCGTTGTCGGTCTTACTGAATACGCTTCCCCGTGGGCTAAGAGAGTGGGTCGGACATCGCAGAAGCCATTAGTAGTTGTCCTGATGACGAGGAACTGTTAAGACGAATAACTGATTGCCCCTGGTTGTTACTAGAAGATGATGATGTGCGTCGAGATTCTGCTCGTCTGTACTTTCGTCGAGTACGTGGAACAGAAGCTGTGGTAAAGAGGTTACTTGGGCATGGGTTTTGCAGTCGGCATGATGAGGCTGCTGAGCTGACTCATCCCTACAGGTGTTTGGTTGAAGAGGACGGGGTTGCTTGTGGCAGTATCTTTGTGAGCAGAAAGGGCCTTACGGAACGTCTGAGGCACCGACGCCACATCCGAAACTTGAGTCACGTCCTCACGACAACTAACCAGTGCATCGTATGCAAACGCAATTTCAAGTCCCAGACGACCGCGTCCAGGCACCTCCAATGCTCACTACTGCGTGGATATTGTGGACGGTGGCATTCTAGATCGTTGATGCCGTTCCTGGAGCCTGGAGACTATTCGTGTAAGCTCTGTGGTTATGCAGGTCGTGATTTGGAAGACCTCCGTAGTTATTCATTGGCTCATCTTCCCTTTCGTGCTTCGGCTGCTCCGCCACCCACCGAAGTTCAAGCCCACCGTAGGGATGAGCGGGGCTGTCCCGTCCGATGACGCCGAGATGCCCGACTGGATGAAACCTGGCGCGCGCAAGGCGGAGGGCACGTCTGCATCGGCGGCAAAAAATGGCAAGAGGCGGACCAAGGGCAGCTTCTGGGGCAGACGGCAGCGGCAAGAAGGGCAACAAGAGCGACAATAACATCCAGGCCCTGCTGCTGACGCTCGCCAAGCTCGTCCTCACAGGCGCCAGGCAGCTGGCGTCGCTCGATAACGCTACCTACGAAACCTACTTCGTCGACGGAAGCGGCGGCTCCCTGGGCAAGACCCGCATCAAGGCGGGCGCGGAGTACGACGCCGCCTCGAAGCGCCTCAAGAAGTTGAATGCGCAGGGCGACGAGGTGGACTTCAAGAGCCGCGGGCCCCCCTATGTGACGGTGTACATCCACGTGCTGAAGCGGGCGATGGACATGGTAGGGGACCTCGGGCAGCATCCCGACAAGAAGAAGTACGACGCAATCAAGGAGTACTGGGAGACGGCCATCCGCAAGCGCAAGCCGACGGAGATCGCGATGGACGTGCTGCTCTTCAAGTACCGCAAGGCGGGCAAGGGCCAGGACAAGGGCGTGCTCTCGCTGGCGATCTCGTTGAGGGAGCCCATCGTCGCGAAGATGTGGACCGCCGTCATGGAGTGCCTCGTCAACCACGACGGGATCATCAGGACTACAGGCCCCACCCCGCGGGGCCCGCTCGAGAGGGAGGTGTCTCGCCCTCCCAACGAGATGCAGGGGAAGCAGGCGCAGGAGGACGGGCCCCTCTAGTAGGATGGATGAGGGGCAGTAGCAGGTTGGCAGAATTAATCCAGAGAGGAGTGATCGACCCCTCTGTATTAGATCCTGAGGTTGTGACGTACGCTCACGATCTCCTCCCCTCCGTTCCTGTCGCTGAGGTCGCCCCGAGGGCGAAAGCCAAGGGGAAAGCCACCATCAGAGCCAGACGCGGGGAATCAGAGACTGCTGCAGGCCTCCCACCGCCACAGGGTCCTCACGGCACAAGCCATTGGAGGAAAGGGCGCGGGAAGGGCCACCGAGGGACTGGGGTCGGGAGTGGTGGGGCTGGGTCGGGGGGGGGGGGAACGGAAAGTAGCGAGCTGTCGGTCCCCTTTGGAGGCATCCGCTTGGCTGCGCGCCAGTGTGCGGACCGCCTCCGGTAGGGGCAGCGCGGGCTGAGCCCGAGCGGCCAACGGCGCTCGGGACAGCTTCAGGTTTACTTACTGTCGATTAGCGACGCCCAGAAGCTGCACGGCACTTAGTCCTTGAGGAGAGTCAGATGCTTGCTTCCCAGGGCCGGCTAAGACTGAGACTTCTCCTCATCCTCCTCCTCCTCCTCCCCCTCCTCCTCCTCCTCCTCCTCCTCCTCCTCCTCCTCCTCCTCCTCCTCCTCCCCCTCCTCCCCCTCCTCCTCCCATCCTCCTCCTCCTCCTCCTCCTCCTTCTCCATTCCTTCTCCATTCCTTCTCCTTATACATAACCTCCTCCCTGTCGCACCCCGAGGCAATTTTTTAGGGCGGGCCAGGTGCTCCGCCTGGGACGATCTCTCTCACCATTTATGACTCTAAAGCTTACAAGACGGGTGGTTTTCAAACGGTGGCTCTCGCCTTAGTGCCGCGCACATTCGCTTTTTTGAAAGTGTAAGAATTTAGCGGGTTGAAGGCGGGCCGTTTTCAAAATGTGGCCTTCGCCTTGGTGCCGCGCACATTCTTTTAAAACATGTGCAGCCGTTTCAACGTGGAGGGCGGGTGGTTTTCAACATGTGGCTCTCGCCTGAGCGCCCCGCACACTCGCTTTGAATAAAAACAATCGCCGATTGAGGGCGGACCGTTTCCAAAATGTGGCCTTCGCCTTAGCGCCGCGCGCATTCGCTTAAACCAGGTGCAACCGTTTCACAATAGAGGGCGGGCCGTTTTCCATATGTGGCCTTCGCCTTAGCGCCGCGCGCACTCGTCTTGACCAGTTGCAAGAGTTTCACGGACTGGGGGCGGGCCCTGTTCAACATGTGGCTCTCGCCTCAGCGCCGCGCGCCTGCGTTTCCACGCTTTGCAGCATTGCGACGGCTTCCCATGACCAGCGTACCAGAAAGGGGGCCTGGGAAGGATTCAGGATTCTGCGGGCGCAACAGTGATGTTGAGTCGCTGTGTTGAAGTCCCAAAAGTGGCGTTCTGGCACGATCCTGGATCGTCAAGACGCAACAGTCAGGCTGATCCGTGGCGTTGACATCCCGAGAACAATCTTTGGCACGCTTCAGGATCTTCAAACTGTTCTCTTCCAGCGAGGCAGTTCCCTCAATGGGAATGAACCGTTGTAGGGGCCTATGAAGAGGGAGCTTGGAGGGAAGGTTAATTCCAACATCGTTGATGACTCTTGGGTTTCCACTGGTCCTCCTCCTCCTCCTCTTCTTCTTCTTCTTCCTCCTCCTCCTCCTCTTCCTCCTCCTCTTCCTCCTCCTCCTCCTCCTCCTCCGTCCAGGAGGCCTCCAAGACGACAAGGAGCCCCCCGACAAGGCCCAGAGGGAGTCCCAAGGCAGCCCGTGGCCCCAGGGCGCCCCCCATGAACCCACGAAGACCGCCCAGGAGGGGCGCTCCTCCTCCTCCTCCTCCTCCTGCTGCTCTTCCTCCTCCTCCTCCTCCTCCTCCTCCTCCTCCTCCTCCTCCTCCTCCTCCTCCTCCTCCTCCTCCTCTCTTCCTCCTCCTCCTCCTCCTCCTCCTCCTCCTCCTCCTCCTCCAAGGAGAGCCCCAAGATGCCCCTAGGATGCCCCAGAAGTGAGGCCCGCTCTTCGGCCTCGGGAAGCTGGCGGTCCGACGCCTGGGGCGCTGCCGATAAAAGTACTTCTCGCCAGGCTGGAACCTCATATGCGACGAGATCCATCCACCATACACGTCCACTGCCCCTGGCCAAGCCCATCCTTGGCCCAGGAGCGGTGTATACGCCGCCCTGGCTTGGCCAGGCGTGCACATACACCGCTCCTGGGCCCAGGATTCCCCTGCCAGGGACAGTGGATGCGTATGTATCTCATCTTCCGACCTCAGAGGCAGCGCCGCCAGTCTCTTGCACAGCTCTGCGAGGCTCTCGATCTTGCCCACGTCGCAGTCCTTCGGGATCTGCGAGTAGGCGGCCTCGTCGGGACCTGCGGGCTCCATGCCGAGTCCGGCGCCGTAGCCCAGGCCCGAGCAATGCGTCAGGAGGCGACGCAGTGTCATTTTCCGTTCCGTCGGCTTGTCCTCGGGCGTGCAATGGGTTGGCGGCACGCCAGGGGGTGAAGCGACGGAGGGCAGGCCTTCCCAGAAGGCGCCGGCGCTTCTCGGAAACCCCCGCGCCCTCTGAAAACCCGTCAGTGGCTTCGCAGAAGGCTTACACGGCTTCTCGAAGTCGCGGGGGCTTCTGAGACGCGCCGATGTCTTCTGAGAAGGCCTGCCCCGTCTCACTTGCCCCTGGGCTCGCCGCCGTATGGAGGTTGCCCTTTTTGCTACAGACACGGATGCCCTTGAATTCTGGCAGATACTTCGAGACCTCGTCCTCCAGCCTGCATTTGCCTCGCTCGACCAGCATCATCAGGCTTGTCGCGATCATCGGCTTCGTGAGGCAATACAAGCGCACGATGGTGTCCATCCCCATGGGGTGCCCATGTTCCAAGTCCGACCAGCCGAAGGCTCCGGCCTGAAGCACCTGGTCCTTGTGGATGGCAATGGAGGAGCATCCCGGTATGTGCCTCGACTGGCGCGCCTTCCGGGTATGGAGCTCGTACTGGCGCATGGGGCCAAGGTCCATGTCGGCAGGGGCCTCCTCTAGATACAGTCGGGACGTTGACCTAAGGAACCCTAAAGAAGGAAGGAGGCACCTTTTTCCCATCAGTGAAGGTTCGATTTCCCATCGAAAACCTGGGGAAAACCTAGGGCAGGCTGTGAAACCATCAAGGAACACGGAGCCCCTCCCCAACGAAAAGGGTTCCTTCTTCAGCGCCCCGACTGTAGAGGGCAGAACAACCACCCTCCAGAAGAAAAGTCCCAATCCGCAGACGCATCCAGGGAAGGACTTCGGCAGGGCAGGGCTCTCGGGTAAACGCTCAGGTCCGCTATTACCTCGCCATCGCTCGGACGTCCATTTCCTGTGTTTTTGTTTGATTTCGTGCGTGTTTTTTTGGCCAGATGATCAAGGATGCTCCTCGATGGTCCTCGCCGAAGGAAAATGCACACGTCCGAACGATGCCAAATTATAAACGCCATTGATCGGGGTTGGGGTGGGTGTTCCTCCCTTGACCAGGGAAGCCACACACTGCTATCTCCGCCGCAGCCCGGCAAAGGCAGTCCGCGCGCGCGCTCCGCAAGCTGGGTGACAGCACTGCGAACTGCCCCGAGACAAAAGGAAAAGGAGGAAGCAGGAGGAAGGAGGAGGAGGAGGAGGAGGAGGGAAGGAAAGGGGGGGAACCAGCGCGCTCACGCAGCGGGGGGCCGCAGAACTCACTCGTACAACTCACCGACTCGAGGAGCGAAACACTGAACTCACTGACTGCTTCGTGGGTCCGCGCAGACCTCCGAGACATTACAGTCATCGGTCTGACCTAAGGAACGATAAATAAGGAACGAAGCCCCTTGTTGATCCAAGTGAGTCTACGAAGTCCGAAGGAACATCAGGGGGGCTCGCCGCCAAAAAGGTAGCAGAACGCATGCAAACCTAAGGAACGACCGAGCCCCTTTTGAAAAGGAAGTGTTCCTTATTCAAGCCGCTCACTGTATGCTTGTGCCTTCTTGTTCGTCCTTCGAGCCTCGGGCAGCTTCAGCCCCGGCAGCAGGCGGCGCCACTCGCGCGTCGAGCGCTCACCGGCGTCCACCATCGCTGCAGGCGGCGCGAGCACCGACACCCACTGGCTCGGCCCTCTGCCCGTCTTGCTCGAACCCACACGCCACAATCAGACTCAGGATAGAAGGGCATCCTTCAAGACCACGAGACCTTTCGTCGGCCAAAACACACACAGAACGTCCAAGGGTGCCCTTCGCAGGATGCACACGAACATCCAACAAGCACAAATACTTGGGCCCCCTCCCCGGGCCGACCTCGATCATAGACGTCGGTCCGACTGTAGACCGTGTGGGCTTCGAGCGTCATCTCGTACCACATCGCGCGGACATACTTTTAGCACACGAGGAAGATATCCCGCCCAGCGGATACTGCCCAATTTTCGAACGTGCTCTGCGCAAACCTGCTGAGACATGTTGCTTGACTCTCCACTCTCCACTGTACTTGACTGTCTGCTCTCTATCTTCTCCACCCTCCACTTTCTGCACGCTCGCTCACTCTGGTTCTCTCTCTCTCTCTCTGACTCTCTCTCTCTCTCTTTCTCTCTCTCTCTCTCTGTTTCCCTATTCCTTTCTGTGTGTGTCTCTCTCTATCATTACTATTGTCTGTCTGTTTGTTTGCTTCTCTCTCCCTCTCTCGAGAAATCATCCTAATCATCCGGGTTCGGGGGCCGAACGGTCGTTCATTGTCCCTGGGCGCGCGGCTGACGTGGGGTTTCGCGAAAAAAAGAATGTTGTTGATGCGTTTTGGCTGTTCATTTTGCTGTTGCATTTGAATTCTCACTACTGAAAAATAACTAGTGTGGATCCCCCCCTCCGGTGACCATTGTGATTTTCAAATGAAGTGCTTCCCCGGAGAATCACTAGGCTCAAAATGCGTTGTCGGCCCCCAGATTATCAGAACAACGGCTCCCGCCTGAGATTCCCTCACAATTTAGCCAAGGCCCCCGCTCGCGCCTGAGACATCATCGTACTTTACTCAGGAGTCGCACTCTCGCCTGGGACTTCTTTACGGCTTATTCAAGAATCGTTATCTCGGCGCTCTGGAGCCGTGCTCTCGCTGCAGACTTGCTTGCAGATTACTCAATAATCGCACTCGTGCGTTGGAGCTTCCCACAATTTACTCAAGCGCCGCGATGCCGACAATCAGGCACCCAGGAGTCGCGCTCACGCTCAGGAGACCCGCACCATATACTTAGGAATCGGGATCTCGCTGCCCTTCGTGGCCCCGTTGCAGCGTTTCGTGGCCCCCTCGCTGCCCTTCGTGTCCCCGTTGCAGCCCTTCGCGGCCCCCGCGCTGCCCTTCGCGGCCCCTTCTCTGCCTGCCCTTCGTGGCCCCCGCTCGGTCGCGCCCGTCGTGGCCCCATCTGCATGCGCTTCGTGGTTCCGCTGTCGCCCTTGGCGGCCCCCTCGCTGTCCTACGTGACCCCGTTGCTGCCTCCAGTGGCCCCAGCCGTGCCTTCTGCGGCCCAATATACGCATGCCCTTCGCGGCCCCCGCTCGTTCGCGCCCGTCGCGGCCGCATATGCACGCCCTTCGTGGCCCCGCTGTCGCCCTGTGTGGCGCTCCCGTTGTCCTACGTGGCCCTGTTGCTACCCTCTGTGGCCCCGTCGTTGCCTCTGTGGCCCCGCATTCTCTGCCCTTCGTGGCCCCCGCTCGGTGGCGCCCTTCGTGGCCCCATGCGCGTGCCCTCCGTGGCCTCGCTGTCGCCCTTCGTGGCTACCTTCCTGCCCTTCGTGGCCCCACTGTCGCTCTCGCTCTCGCTCTCGCTCTCGCTTTCGCTTTCGCTCTCGCTCGTCGTCGTCGTCGTCGTCGTCGTCGTCGTCGTCGTGGTCGGTCCCCCGTCCTTCCCTCTTGGGGTCGGGCTGCCGCCGATCAGCGCTGCCGCTGGCCAGGCCGAAGGTCCGCCCGCGGCCGCCCCGCCGCTCGCCAGGGCCCAGCCTGCAGGGAGGAATGATAGACCCCCCCAAAGGGGTACACCCTGCGAAATGCTTAAGAAGTCATGGGTTAAGAAATTCATAGTCTCAGAACTTGAATAAAAAACCCAACATTTCCATTAAAATCTTAAGATTTACATTGAAACGTTAAGAATAATCGAGACTCTGGCCGAAAACTTAAGTTTTCTTAAGCATCGCCTAAGGTGTACCCTCCCAAAGGGGTACGATCGAAGACGAAGAGTGCGGGTATCGAGGGTTTGGGAAATACACGTTGGATGGCACTCGAACAGATGAGAGCGAGCACTATGAAACTCATGGTTGTTGTTGCGGCCTGCTGTTCTTGTTGTCGTTGTTGCGTTGTTGTTGCGTTGCTGTCGTCCTCTCCCGCGACCCGCCCGCGACCCACCTCGCGACCCACTCCACGACCCACCACGCGACCCACCCCGCGACCCACCCGCGACCCACCCGCATTGCTTTGACGAAAAAATGCGCCTGCGGCGGGTTTGTTGTACAATTTGTGAAAATTCGGCGCCTGCGGCGGGCTTGTTCAGAGCCTCGTAGACTGCCGACGACTCCGCCGCCCCGCCCCCTCACTCTTATCCGCAACTGCGGGGGGCGTCGTATACTTCAGCTGATCCAAAGCCATAGAAAAGATGCCCCCCGCAAAACCTGACACCCCGGACCCCTGGCCCCTGGGACCCCCTGGACGCCCCTGCTGAAGATCTCCTTGGACTTCCACCAAGCTTCCTACACGTCCCTACCGGGCCTGGCCAGCGGGCCCGAAGCGGTCAGGAAGGTGGCCAAACGGCCCGAAGACAGCCCAAAGAACATCCCCACTAAGTCCTCGAGGCTACAAAAACGCATTGACTTCCTCAGATTGTGGTGTGACTTTGTGGTACTCGGCTCGTCGGCCTTCCGAGCGCCCGAAGCCGCCCGGCAAACCGCCCCCAAACGACCCACAGGAACCTTCAGGCAGTCCAAGGCAGCCCCAAGACGGCCCAACAGAGCCCAAAGATGGCCCGAAGAGAGCTCCATGATGGCTCAAAGTGGCTCCAAGACGCCTCCCCCGCAAGCACTCCAAATCGTGACCTGGTCGTTCAGGGAGACCGTGGTTCGCAGCAGAGTGGCCTGAGGAAACCCCCAGACACCCCCGAGAAGCGCCGAATGAATTTCCAGAGGCCCCGAAGAAGCCTTAAAAACACTTCCGTGAGGTCCCAAAGGAGGGGTATCCGCAAACAAAAACAATTGCGGATAATGGGAAGGGTTGGCAAGATTGGGCGAGACCGACCAAGAGGACGATGAAAGATGAAGGAACGATAAGGCAAACCACCAATACAACGACGATGGCATGAACGGCCATCTCTCTCTATATATGTGTATGTATGTATGTATGTATATATATATATACACGTGCGTCTATCGCCCTCGATCTCTCGCTCTCTCTCCTTTTCTCTCTGTGTATTTATATATATATATATATATATATATATATATATATATAGATTGGTGCGCTTTCTTTCTCTCTCTCTCTCTCTCTTCGCTCTCTCTCCCTCGCTCTCTCTCTCTCTCTGTCTCTCTCTCTCTCTCTCCTCTCTCTCCCTCTCAACATAATGCATATACTGATACATATGTAAACATTCGTACGTGAATATTAGCCAGCGTGGACCCCAAACCATATCTTCTAGCATACTTGGTGGCGCAATCGATTGCAATCGATTGGATTGCGACTGACGGGATTGCAATCAATTGGATTGCGGTTGATTGGATTGCAACGGGGGGGCGCAACGGGGCGGCAGCGACGGGGCGGGGCGGCGACGGCGACAACATAGCCGCCAGACCGGCTGTCAGACCCAGACGACGGGCGCGACGAGGTGGCGACTGGGCGAAGACGGCGAAAACATAGACGCCAGACCAGCGGTCAGGCCCAGACCACGGGCGGCGACGAGGTGGCGGCGGGGTGGCGACGGCGACAACATAGCCGAAAGAATGGCCGTCAGGGCCAGACGACGGACGGCGTCGAGGTGGCTCTTGGGCAGCGACGGCGACAACACAGCAGCAAGACAGGCGGTCAGGCCCAGTTCCTTACAACAGAGGGATGGACCCCTATTTGCAAGCCGTGGCTGGGGAATATGTTGGCGGGTGTGGTCTCACAGGGCCGGCTGTGCCAAGACATGCTGGTCGATATTATGTAAGAAGAAGCCATGACGGATGCCCCCGCTGTCTCTGCCTATGCCTGTGCCTCTGTCTGCTCATTTTTGTTATCCTGTATATATATATATATATCTTATATCGTCCTCTCCCTCTATACTCTCTGCCCCCCCCTGCGCCTCCGAGTCGCCGTTGGCACGAACCCCCGGCACGGCGCGGGCTCGAGGCAGGACACGGGACACCCGGCGAAGCTGGCCCGCAAACGCTGCCCACCCCGCGCTGGCAACGGGCAGCGGGGTTGCCAGGGTCGCTCGACCGAGAGCACAGCCGCAGCACGGCAAATGGCCGCCGCGGTCGACGAGGAGCTCGAGCGGCTCGGCGCGGAGCAAAGAGAGGCTGCTGCCGCGCATACCGAGCAGGTGGCCGAGTTGCTGGCCGGTCGGGAGATTCTCGCCGTCGTCGAGGCGGAGCACCCCCCCGATACGGAGGCCCGCACATCTGCTCACTTTCGGCGGACGGGTGCGGGATTGGGCCCGCAGGGGCGTGCCCTCAAGGAGCTGGCGAGAACTGCGGGCCAGCAGTGCATGGCCCCCTGCTCGCCGAACCCAAGCGAAGAGTGGCTGTGATTTGTCTCGCGGAAACTGCGGGCTTCTCAAAAATGGCCCGCAAACCTGCTCACCAGGAAAAGACCAGGAACGGCTGCACTTGGGCTCGCAAAAACTGCGGGCCAAAAAAACATGGCCTGCAAATCTCCGCACGATTGGGCTCGCAGAAACTGCAGGCCAATGCAGAATGGACCGCGAATCTGTTGTGGGATTGGGTTCGCGGAAATTGCGGACCCCCCCCAAAAATGGCCCGCACATCTCCTCACCGAGGACAGGCAGCGATTGGGTCAGCAAAAAACAGCGGACCAAAAAAGTGGCCCGCAAATTCCCCAATCCCTAAAAGACCAG